CATTGCTTCATAGGATCACCCATTTTATTCAATAATATTGAAATATTCGATGTGACAAGCCGTTATGGTTTAAGTGCAGTGAGTCCTATTGATGTGTTTTCTTTTAAGCAACTAAAGACATTGACAGTGAAGTGCTGGTATAAAGAACCGGAAATTTGGTTGGATTTCGTATTAGAACATCCAACAATAGAACGACTTGAAATTGGTATTGTAGGTATTGCTCTATGGTTTATGTATGAAGAGATGTTTGAACAAATACGCCGAAAACTGAACAAAGTAAGCCAAAATACGAAATTCATTTCGTTACAGTTAAACGGCTTTACATTTTATGATCCATCAGATCCAGGCAACACGTTGAAGCTACTGAAATTTTTAGCAGCCCAAAATTGGTTCAATAAGGTTACTGTAATGTTTAGACTTCCAAGAAGGAGAGGAAATTATAAGATATTCGATGAGTTATCCGCAATGGAAGTTTTCACAACGAAAATTTCGCAAATTTGTGAAAAAACATCGAAATTAAAATCATTTATGAAAATCTATAAAATAAAAAAGAACATTCTATCAGATACACCTTATGTTGATTTTGAGAAATGTGAACAATAAAAATAAAATGTACTAAATGAAAAATACGAGTGCTTTCTTGCCCCGTAACTGATGAGAGATACCAAAATGGTATCTTCGAGAATATTGTAGTACTTGACCTGCCCTAAAGTACTTGCTAAAGATAGATCAAAGGGATATTGTAACTTTTCTGACCAGAAAAAACGCCATCTAACGTCGTGCCCGTAAATTATTTTACTATACATTTAGGTGGTAGAGCTTGAACAAAAGTTCGACACTATGCATAAACTTGGAAAGAGCTTGATAAACTTGATGAAATACATATATTTAATGGTCGTTGCTATACCCCTATGGGATAGGTAAACAATATTGTTTGTTGATTTGGTCATTTCACAAACGCATGAATCAATTACATTCATTTTACGCTCAATTGATCACTGTTTTCATTCACAAAACTTTCTATCACCCTGTGCAGAGAAGCAATAAGGCAATGGTTGTTCGAAATTTAAAAAAAACTTGATATATGAAACTCTTTACGAAAGAAACCAGAACCAATGTTCAAAAATAGACATTTGCCTTAATAAAATTGCGACTTGTGGCTCTGTTTTGAGCATTTCTGGCGATAGCTGCAAACGATTTCGATGGTTTCATTGGGTCTCCGTTTGCTCATACGAAACTCCACCGCACTCTTGACACCATCATCTTTGCCGCCGATCGACTCGAGCAAACTATTCACTGTGAGTGAAATGAATTTGGTGCGAAATTTCATTGAATTATTATTCGTCGCAAAAACAGAACAAATACGGAGTAACGACAGTAAACCACTGAATATTTAATCAAGTTGCTTTCGTTTAATTGTACTTCAATGAGCCATCGAATTTAACCTACTCCATTTTATAAGTAAATTTGAATTGAGAAAATGCAAATTCATTAATGCGAAGCACTCATTGTAACCCCAGGTATGCAGAAAAAAATTGGATGAAAAAATGTTAGAAATGAATTAAAGTTTCCATTGAATCACGTTTTATTTAGAACATATGCTTGTTTTCAATTTCTAGTGATGCTATTCACAACTATTTCTTCTATTTTCGTTCAAACTATTTAAAATTTTTCAGGTTTATTGTTATATGTTTCTCAGTTCATGTTATAATACCGCGCTATTCATTTTAAATAAATCAAATTCCGAGACAAAAATCCCCTTTTTTATAATTAGACATTTGGAAACATAACGTTTGAGACGAATACTACAATGATTCATCTGATTGCCAGACATTCGAATATAGTTCATTTGACACGTTTTGATATGTACAATTTATAAAATAGATCTGTGCATTGTGGAGTCTCTTAGCTTATATTTAATCAGTCAACGCATATGATCTCAATAATGGAGTTCAGGTGTTTACGTAATTTTTGAAGTTGCCGTTGTTTGAAATCTCCAACAGCTGGATCGTCTATGTACGTGCCTTCAATCTCTTCGATCAAATAATTCAAACTAGATAATTCTTCTTCAGAAAGAATATTTTTGGCAGGTTCAATCGCATTAAACAAAGACTTAATCTCTGATGCCAGATTTTTTCGATTCGTATTAATAGCTTTCAATTTTGTTTCATCTCGAAAAAATTTCAAACCGTTTGCCATTGTCATTATTGTTTTTACTTGGTCAACAATTTGATTTTTTGATGGTCTTCCAGAATTAGTGCTTGTACTCGGTTCAGAGGTGTGTCTCATGGTTGAATTGTGAATAGGTTCTGGCCATTTCGATATCATTTCGGATTTTTCACGGTTCTCATTTGATTCAACGGGATTTGAAGCTTCAGCTGCCGCACGTGAATTTTTGGAGGACGAATCGTTTTCGTTACAGTTAACGACGTCAATTTCTGTAATTCAATCATATATTTCATTAGTTTTTTTCGCATTATTTTCTTTCAAAATACAAATTAAATTACCTGGACTTTTGCTTTGGCTTTTACTTTTTTCCGATCTGGGCGAGCAGATTTCATTTTGGTTTGGTAAGCCTTCATCAGGTTTTTGAATTCCTGCGTTTTCATTGCCTTCGCCAACTGTTACCTCATCTTCATTATCGGAATCAATGATCTTGGCTCGCTTCAGTTGCTGTGATGCGGCACCTTTGATTTTTGAGAAGATTTTGCATTACTTCGTGTTTATTAATCAAATAAATTCAGATTTTTACCTTCATCCTCTGAATCACTTAGAATAGCACGTTTCTTGCGATTCAATGGCAAACCACTTCTATGCGAAGCAGCAATGCCACTACGTGAACGAGATCGTGTACGTGAACGAGAGCCTGGAATACAAGGAAGAACAATATGAAATTGGTTCGAAATCAAAGAGAAAACGTGCTTCGAAACATCTAAATAATGGGCAAAAATCAATAGGTTTTACCTCCACTTTTTACAGGGCCACTTCGACTGTTTACCACGTTAAACAGCGCGAGCACTCGATCATCAGCCGACCTGCATACGGTCTACCGCAGTAACAAGTTATCGAATTGTATGAATCGGCGTCGGCATCTGCAAAAATTGGGGTAAAAAGATGGAGGGAATGTGAGAATTGATTTAAAAACTGATAGAAAAAAAATGAGAAAAATTTCAAAGCTACAATCGGCTTTGAAATTCCATCCAGTTTAAACTTACCCAAATCTGCACGTTTTTTTGCCGATGATGCATCAATGTCGCTCATGGCCTTTGTCACATCGTGAGTGCTTGTGGTATTCAGCATCGTATTTGAACCAACGAAATCTTTATCCCTATCTTCTAGCTCCTCTTTTGTTAAGTCGTCAACCGTTGAAATCGCATCATTCATAGCGTTGCTTTTCGTCAACTCAGTTGCGCTTCCCATACTATCCAATGGACTATGAGTTGAGCTTTGCAAAGCCTATAAAATGTGGATAGGCAAAGTTTGTTTTCAGTGTAAGTCTGTGAAAATCTAACAAGTCAGTAAAAAAAACTCAGGCAGCCGCAGGGAGTCTATGTAAAGACTAGTGAATCTTCAACGGAAAATCAATGGGTTTTATGAATTTATACAATTTTGACATGTCATTGATTCACAGCGACTCGTTTTCAGATTGTTATGAGCTTGTGCGCAACGACAAATAAACCTCAAGACCATTCATTGATTGCAAATTAACCGAACTTACTTCTCGACTAGACGTTTCATTAAAGTTAGCGTGTTCTAACATATGCTGAACACTCAGCTGGAAATCTTCTTGGGTACGCGGTTGACGTGTTTGTGCTGGTGATTGAGCATCATTTGGTTTGGAAATTTCGTTAGAATCATTCAAGTTTGGTGACGCTGAACCGGATCGGTCCGAGGTGGGCGAAGCGATGGATTTGTT